GTCGTCATCATTGACGGGGAGTGGGAAAGTGTTACGTAAACTTAAATCCAAAGATTCTCGATTAATTTAGAGCCAACTGGTATGATAATTCAGACCTGTCTGGTCATTAAGTTCTGCCATTCTGACATTCATTTCCTATTCCATCATATATAAGCAATTGAGAAATGAAAACCCAGGCCATCAGACATTGAGGCAGGATAGACCACTATTGATTGCCCTTGATTTTTCTTTTCCACTGGCGTTCATATCAACAGGCTTAGATGTATTTTTAATGATATGTTTGTGATATGCAAAGTAAGTAAAGTAAAGTAGTTTTGCTCAATTTTGCTGTTTACTATTCAGAGGGCCACAAAGTGAAAGAGTGGTTCATGCTTGTGCCTTACCCTGGTGGTTTGTAATGGTCTTTTTGTGTAGAATTTTACCTCTGTGTCTATGGGTTTTCTTTGGGTACTATGTTTTTTTCCCCATAGTCCAAAAACACATAGTTTGATCGAGTATAAATGGTTGTTTGTCTGCTAATCTGCTGGATTAGATCGGCTCCAGTCTTCTTGAGAACTCTGGAAAGAGAAATTTGTATTTGGCCATATTTCCAGTCAATGATGATGTTTCAGCACCATTACTCAGCTTCTTCTTAGCTTATTTTTTTTAATAACACAATATGTTCTGGGATATGCTTGTATAAGCATGTTCCACTGCCAGTGTGTCTCCTTTGGTTTGTACAAAGGAATTACACATTCATGTTATTCTACTTGTGTTCAGTCCTTTATATAGATATAAAGTCTGAAAATGTACATTAACACTGTCTTCACTCATATTTGAGCAAAATAACTGATAAACTGCAGATGTCATGTCACGTTTGTCACTGAGTTTAAAACACATAAAAAGGTGTAATAAAGTTTTAGGTCGATTTTCTGTTCTTATACCACATTAAGGAAGTCCCCAAACTTTTCCGCTGAATGTAGTTTGTATATAAGTAGGATGCTGTCCAATATACCAGATGTCACAAAGTTCTTTGTGTTGAAACAGACGTACCAGACCAAATAAATTTGGGATAAATACAAAGCACCACTGGTAATGTATAAATTCCCAGCTCTCTGATGGCTGGGGAGCAGACTCGGGGGCCTGAGCCTGGAGGTCTGATAGTGACTCTGTGTGTGGCCCGCTCTGTTAACCACACTGTCCTATAGTGGCAGTAAGGAGCTGATGAGCCGGCGTTAATTAAAGCCCGGGCTCCCTGTCATCAGCTTATCAGATCTGCTGAACTAGAAACAGCAACGCCACTGGCTGCTTTGCTTCCCTCTGGGTCCGTGGTGTTCATGTATGCACGTGTCCGAGTGTGTTTGTATAACAGAGGAGGAAGTAAAGAATGACCAGCAATTAAAAATAATTGAGACTAATTCTATTAAATGCAGTGCAACTAGGGAAACATATTTAATCAGGGACAATCATTGGACTAACTTTTGCTCCACTTTCCCCCGGTAACTAGCACAACACTTTAGGGCTTCTGAGAGGCAAGAGAGGGGATGATTAAGGCTGGGCAGAAAAAAAAAATATATGAAAAGGAAATTAAAAAGAAAATGTAGAAAAGTTGAATAAGTAGAGTGAAGGAAAGTTGGTGGCTAGAGTAATGCCTGAGCCCTTTCATGTCCCTTGTCTGGCCCGCAGTTCTGTGCCAACCCAAACAACGGCGTTGGGGAGGTCCGACTCCCTCCCTCTCGCCCCGTGCACACCCTACTGACAGGATGAATAACAAAGCCATGTGTGTCTGCAGCAGTGAAAGAGGGGACATGACTTGAACCCGTTGCATTTACAGTTGAAAATCTTTCTCAGCATAATTTTCTCAGAACGTTTTCTCATCCTTTGCCACAGCCTCAGTTCGTGGACGTCTCACTGCTTGAGCTGTGCGCCCACACACTGACATAAGTACAGAGCAGCACAGATCCGTCCAATGGAGCTGCTCTACAGTGAGGATTAAAAAACAGTTGCTTTGCCCTACTTTTTTGTCCGATACTCTGTACCCCAACCATGGGAGAAGACTTGAAAAATGACAAAGAAGGAGGAGAACTGTAGCAAAGAGTGATTCAGACTAAAACAAATCCATCTGGTCGTCTGAGAAACTCTCATTTTTGTTTTCTTACCAGAAACAAAGTATTTTTTCCCACAACTGAATTGGGGATTAACAGTAACTGCTCTGAGGTATTTACAACCTGCACACAACACACACCAGCCCTGTACGCTATTAAGCAGCCAATCAGACGCCGGGATTCTGCCATTAAAGGTGGTGCCTGCACCAATCTGATCATTTGTCCTTTCTCACTCTGTTTCTAACAGCCAATCATGTTCTTTCCACATGCGTGGTTGGCTGTGAACTATTCAGTTTTAAGAGCTCATTTCCCAGTCTACAATAACCAGAACCATTTTCTTGGATAAATACAGTAAAACTCTTTAATCAAAGCCATACCCTGAAACAACACTGCGTACACATGCATTGACACAAACAAAGGCCATTAAGTTTAATTACCTTCACAGAGAGAATCATCAATATATTAAAACCACTGCTTTGAAAACAAAGAAAGAACTTTCTCTGGTATGAAGACAAAAGACAAAGTGCTGACAATGTCCCAACTACAGTCAAATCACTTCACGTCTCACTTGTAGTTGCAACAAAGAGTCCTGCAAGAAAGCAGTATGTGTTGAACAGTACTTACTGACATGTTGTTTTACAAAGCAAAGCACTTAAAGGAAATATTTATGGAATTCAGCAGCAAAGAAAACAGTTACAGTTAACCAGACAGGAAATATAAAGATGCAAATAAATCTAGTGCGTGAAGTCAAACGAGGAAAAGCCTGAGCTTGATCCAGCTTTAATCTGCTTCGTGCTTATTTGGTTCTTGCTATTTGGCATTCTTGTCTGTTGATAGTGTCTCTTTGTGTTTTCTAATCAGTTAAACATGCACAGTGTGTAAGTGCACTGTGTAAGCTGAACTCTGCAGGCTGACACGGGCCAAGGAGAACACAACAAAGAAATTTGTAAAAACATGGTTCTCATGGTGACCAGGTTTTTAAGTCAATGTCTGGTTTCAATTTGACTCATTTAATTAAGAAGAACGTCACAATCAATGTTTTGCTCTCGAAGCAGAGGGAACGAAAGAGAAGGAGAAGAAAAAGGAGAGCCAGAAAGGAGCTCCAGTGTCGTGTTACTCAAGTGGAGTACTTCAGTGGCTGCCATAAAACCCCTCACACAGCCAGTGGTGCATGAACACACACGAACATTAAATGAAAGGTGGACACACTGCTGCATGACACACACACACGCAGACTTTTTCTCTCTCACATACACCTGGAACACTATAACAGGGTAATTTCCAGTGATGTGTTTATAAAGGAGTCCGGTTTTTTAACATAAGCCACATCTTTAGGCCTGAGCCTGCCAAGAGGCCCCTCACATCTGACCTGCACTGAGCCAAGTAGATCAGACAAAGACAGAGACGGAGACGGAGAATATAAGGTGGAGAGAAGCAGCGAGTCTCAGATTCAGGGGTTGTAGAGTGTTTTACATGTATTTACATATGTTTTACATGTATGCACTGACCTGTGGCACATTATGTTTGTACTTTGGTGTCTTAGCAGAAGTTGATGTAACCACAAAAGGCTTGGTAACAAATGTAGTCTTTAAGAATTGCTTTAAAGTAAATACCACTTGGAATTTAAATCTAAAAACATTTCAAATCTAAAACCCCAAAACAAAACAGAACAAAAAGGAAATCCTAAATTTCAGAGTTGTGGACAGTTTTCATCAACCATCCATGTATTAAATATATTAAATCATTATTTGCCCACATTTACCACCTACATCTATCAGAATCAGAATCAGAATCTCTTTATTGTCATATGCACCAGGGAAGGTGATACGAAATTTAGTTTTGTACGACCCGTTCCAAGAAAAAACATGAATAGACAATAAAAACAATACAAATAATTGACACGTTTTTAAGTTGATGCCTGCAGAAATGCCATTTTTGGAACAATCTACAGTTGTTTAAGATTTTATTTATTAAATTAATTTATTCTAAAAAAGAATAATAATTACTTGAAAAAGTATTTCATGAGAATAAATACTAAATACTAGACATTTCAGGCAACCCCATATAAATTTCGATCGACCAGACTTGGGGTCACGACCTGAGGGTTAATATCCTAAGGCTTAATATATGGGATAGATCTTAAGGTGGGAAATGATCATGACTTTCATAGTTTTAATGTTTTGGGGATAAAATTATGTTTTACCCCCTAAAAATAAAAGTATATGATTCCATAAGAGCTTCAAGCTGAAATCTCTAGAAACAGGGTATTATTTCTGGGTGTGTCCTTAGGTATGGGCCAGGCAAAACTAAAAGTAGCTGCAATTATGAACCATGTGGCAGGGCAGGGGATTGTGTGTGTATAAAGGACCAAGGTTAAAGAAGCTATTACTCTTGGAGGCACGGGCAGTTGTGGTGTGAGGTACACGGTTCATTTATCTTAGGAGTTGGCCTTGATTTGCTCTACCACACATTTACCAGCTCAGCTACACCAGCAAAATACTCAGGAAGGAACTAAAAGAAACCAAAATAGACATGTGCAGCAAAAAGAGAGAGAAAAAAAATATCCCCACGGTTTCTGATGAAACTGTTGAGATTAGAAGTAAAGGGTCGTTTCTGTCTCCCACTTATCCAGTACAAACATTCCCAAGATCGACTATTTGAGTTGTGGTTTGAAAAAGTGATGAGGAAACGTGTGCGTAGGAGGTCGTGGATGAGAAAGTGAAACACAAAGAAAGATGGGGTGTGAAGATTTTGATAAAAATCCTCCCATTAACACCACTGGAGGCCGACAGAGGAAATAAACATTCAGCTGTTCCCACTTTCTTACTCTAACTTCTTTGGACTATCAGCAGAAGTCAAAAAGTGAGAAAAGCTCCTGGAAATAATCACGTGATGTAACTGCATTGATTCTCTCACCTGTGAGCTTTTGAAGCATTGGGCTGAGCTCCGTCTGGTTGGTGATCAGCAGGGTGAGCGCTCCGATTAGTTCCCTCTCCAGCTTTTCCAGCTCCTCCTCCTCTGCATGATGGTCTGAAGGCTGGGCCTCGTCAGCCAGGGAGTACAGGTAGACCAGCAGGAGGATCAGCTCATCCGGCCCACACTCATCCTTCCTGGACCTTGACCCTGAGGATGACGAGTCGGGGCCTTCATGATGTTGCATCAAGGGCAGCAGCTGCCTTAGTACAGCCGGGAAATCAGAGTCTCCCAGAGCCTGTGAGTCAGAAAGAACCAGGGGGGCAGGTAAAAAAACTGCACCATGTGGATCCACATTAAGGACAGTGGTAGCTGTAATGTTTTTACACATCAAGAAAGTCTTGTTGACTTTACTATCAGGTTTTTCAGTAATAACTTATAAGTTAAGCTAAAAATTATAACATGACCCTTCTGTTCTCACTAGCACCAATATTTCTCCTGTCATAACATCCAGAACAAAAAACAAGATTTCTTTAAAAAAAGAACATGAGGCTAAAGCAGTGATTCCTAACCACTGTGCCGTGGCACACCAGTGTGCTGTGAGAGATCATTAGGTGTGCCATGGAAAATTATCCAATGTCACTTAATTTGTCCCAAAACTATTATTTATTTATTGCAAATATTTTTTTTCTTTGTGTGACAGGCAGAGCAATTAAATCCTCTTCTGCTAGGTGGCAGCAGATGGCTATTAAAACGAAAAAGATCTTGAAGAAGATCTTTGTGTGTGTCTTTCTTCAATTCCTGCCAGTATATCACTGTTGTCTTTACCTAAACAGACTGAGGTTTTAGTCAATGATGAGGTCATTTTGGTGGTGTGGTGTGGGGTTTTTCCTGATATATAAGATATATATGTGCCGTGGCTCAAAAAATGTTGGGAAACACTGGGCTAAAGGTTAAATAGGCTAAAACATCTACAACCACATGCACCACCATAGAACCCATATTAACACTACTTTTATGTTACAGTCTGACTGACTTCGACTGTCTCGTAATCATGCTGCAAAGAGTCTAAATTACAATTACGGAGAGTGAGCTCATAGTTACATCCACCAATGTGACAACTTTGGAAGAGAGGTAAAGCCTAATTTTGTTCTCTTCTTCTGTTGGACACTGCACAGACTCCCTATGTCTCTGTTACTCTTTCTCCACTGCACACACTGTGGTGCTGTATATCACAGGAGCACTCAAAAGCACTGGCCGCTATAATAACAAGAGTGACATCATCCATCTATAAAACAAGGCGTGGAGCTAAACTCTGTGATGAAGAGCAGGAAAGCGAAATGATAAAAACTGCTCAAGAAGAAAAATATGAGTGTTGATAAAGGGACGGCATACAGTTAAATAAGACATTAGTGCAAATGAGGTGGAGATGATAGTTACAGAAACACAAATCAGATGAATCTTCAAATACCCCTGTGGTTATATGTTATTTTAACAAAGGATTGTTCCGGAACAAGTGCTGTGTTTCCCTCTTCAAACACACAGAGACACAGGGAATGATGGGTTTGGACTGTGAGTTTGGCCCAGTTAGGGGATCCTGTGTCCGACCCAGAAGAAATGTTGGCTGAGCCAAAGATGAAACTGAGTCGGAAGATGTTAAGACAACACAACGTTCACTGTCCTGAGGACGTTTTGGAGAAAAGTGCCTCACACTAACGGAACAGTAAAATCCGCAGCCATTGTTGAAGGTGTCAGTCATATCTAGTATATTTTAGGTACAACATCACTCTATCTACTCTGTTCACTTAAGGGGAGCCTCCTTCTTGCATCAGACCCCAGCCAAACACAAGTCCCCCAAGGGACGTTCACACACGGTCCCACCACACATTTTTCTTCTTAAACATTGTGAAATCAAATACCTCTCCAAGTTGCACTCATTTGAACTGCCAAAAAAATCTTTTGGGGATTGCTCTCTCTTGCCTTCACTGCTGGTGCACAACAATGAGAGGAGAAGGACAAAGACCGTGAAAGGTTTTATGTCGAAATGCAAACTGCTTTGGTTCAACTCTTATTCAGGACCTCAGCTATACTTAATATACAGTACATGTACAATAGGAGCTTTGAGTCTTGTCTATTTTAAAAAGGGATACAGCTAAAAAAAAAAACGCTAATAATTTTTGTGGAAATGTCTTATTTGACGTGCTATCACACACTTTAATATGAATAATATCTCTACAAAAGAAGAAATAAATGAATAAAAAGCATCGTGAATGTGTTTTGAGTTAGTACATCTCAGTGTGTGTTAGCCAAGGTTTTGCCAGATACGACAGTAACAGACTGACAGTCAAAGTTCTCTTAACTCTACTCTATTTCCAATAGTTCACTTTTAAAATTTCAATTTAATCCGACTGCGGCTTTATTAGAGAATACGTTGTTGTTTGCAGCACTACCCTAAGAATAATATAACACAGTTTATCCATGGCAAAATTTTAGACAGCCGCTCTTTATTTAACCTTCTTTCTGATATGTAAATGGCAGCAGAGTTTTCCAAAACATCGAGGTACATGACTGGGAGTTCTTTCCCATTTTTGGATGTCAGTGTTTATTAAACACTGGACGTTTAGCCATGTGTATACCATTAACTGTGTATTTTGCTGTTTGTGAATGTATCTTTACATCTTTACATGAGCAAAAACATGCACTCTATAGGTCCCTTCAGGAGATCCATAAAAGCTGCTGTCAACGGAGAGCCATGGCGCCAGAGCAGGAAATGGAGTTTCTGCAGCAGACCTGAGATTGAACTGTGTATTTCTGAGTGGGACGACTGACTAAAGGTCATTCCAGCTCCAAAAACCAACTATGGCACTGGTATAGGACGTGTTGTGATGATGGGAAAAAAAGAAGAAGAAGCAGGATACGTGGTGCTTTTCTGTGGAACTCTGTGGTTAAAATACACCAGAAAATGGAGGAGATCATATTTGTGTAATTTATGTGGAGAAACACTGTGATGTTTCAAATGGCTTTGTTCAAATGAGCTGATTAACTAGCAATAAATCAAGAAAAGGGATTAATACGAAATATAGGGTTCAATAAGAAGTAAAGAATAAAATAAGAACATCATTTGGTAAATATAAATAACATATCTTTATTTAAATTAAATGTTTTGACAATCATTTTGTCAATACTTCAATGAGAAATGAAAGTATATTTGGTGGATTTAATAAATCTAACAAATACAATAGAACAAAATAGAACAGAATCTGAACTATTTTTCTCTAAGGTCGTACTTTAAATTATTAGAATTAATGTGGCAGACTGAAATAGACTTCTATATTTATGTGGGATTCCGGGAACGCTGAAAATTGGGTTATTTTTTTTTTTTTAGACGCAGTACAAGTGTCCGGAAGTAAGGAATTACTGCAGTAATAACAGGAAGCAAACATTATGATTAAATGTCATTACTGGATGCACTGGTACTGCTGCCATGCGCTAATGTGACTATTACATACAATTATGGAATAACAACTGCATTACTCTGTTAAAACAATCCCAGGTTCAGAACTGTCAATGTCGTGAATAAAGCCACAGCTATTACTCAAGCACATCAGAAATACTGTATAAAAACTGAAAAAAAAACTGCTATTATAAAAATGAATAAATATACACCTGTGTTTTATTTAAATAAGATCAGCAGATTTGCTGAATAGAGATCATATTTTGGATTATTTCTTATAAAACGTAAGCATCACTTGATCCTATCTTGGGATTTTGTAGTTTGTTCTGGCTTGAATCTGTATCTCAGCTATTGGCAGATTACTGTCAGGCAATCCCAACCATCCTGAAGTCCATAAAGGCTCAATCTCGCCCAATGACTGAGTTAGGCCAAACTCCGCCTCATGCCCAGCATAGACTGAACAGGAAACCAGCTCCAGATGCAAACCCTGGAGGAAGGTGACTGTTTCAGATGTAGCACAGCTAACCAGAACCAGACCATGTTTGCTTCAATCTCCCCGTGCACAATGAACCTTTTTCTGTGCCCCAGGACTGGGGGAAGGGTGGGTACTGAAGGTATGGCTCTATGCTCCAACGTAGTTGCTATAGATCAGTTGTTTGTGCTGACTAAAGCCACAGCAGCCCAGTGTCACAGTTACCATAGAAACAGACGCAGGACAAGTTTGCACACATGTGCTTGATTTTTAAAAAAATGTAATCACATCCAATTTGCCTTCGCAAACAACAACATGAAACGCTGGAAAAGTTACAAGGAAACTTTTTAGAAACAAAAATACATAAATCATGAATTTATGAGGCAGCGACTAAACTTTGACCTTAAATTATGTACAGCAAGCTCATGCTTGATTTGTAGCGTAACAGATGGAAAACAAATAAGAATGCATTCGCGCTCAAAACAGTTGGCACGATTTTCAACATGTAAACACCACTGGGATGCAGAACAAACTCACAACAGCCTCGACAAACATTTTTTTTAAAAACGACTTCTCTGAGCCTGCCAGTGCACTTGTGAAAGTACAGTATCACAGCGGGGACACGTGCTCTCTGTAACCTGTACTGATGACAACGACAAATCCTGTGAGTGGGTTCAGCCGGAAAATTTCAGTTTACTCAAAGACGGAAATTTGACTTACTGGAGCCGGAATGGAAAATCAAGTTTATATCTGGAAGTCTTTTTACTGTCATTATTCTGTTTTTTGTCAAAGGTGTGGACAGTGTCTCATGTCTTTAATGTGGGAAGAGGAAATGTGACTCCAAACATGAAGAAGAGTGAGTCTGCACACACAACCACACAGTGGAATTACAGCGGTCAACCTGAGCTTCATGGATTATATGTATGAAAAACTGTACTGTTTCTGTCTTAACTATATTATGGTTTATCCAAAAATAGACTCTTTAACTGGTATTCAACAACTATAGATGGTTGTTATATACTGTCATACTACATGGTTGGTTGGATGGATGGATGGATGGATGGATGGATGGATGGATGGATGGATAGATAGATAGATAGATAGATTGTAGTTTGCACACTGCACTGTCAAACATATATGTGTTTCATCAAATATATTTAATAGTGTCACACAACCCGAAACATTTGTGACAGAAACAGACATTCCTTTTTTAAGGGTTCGCAATTCCAGGGCAGACAAAAGCTTTTAGAGGAAAAAATAAAAAGACCCTGTTTTGCTTCCACCAGCTTGACCCTTCTTTTATTTGTAGGAACACTGAGACACAAATCTTTTATTTCAAATGAGGCCTGAATTACCACACAGAGTGTGAGGT